CGGCCTCCATGTCATGACCCTGGTATTCCTTGGAGGTCTCCCATCCAAATACTAGCCAGGGCCGACCCTGCTTAGCTTCCAAGATCTGACAAGATCACGCTAGCCTGGGCTATCCAGGTAAGGGTCATACCCATACTAATCCATGTAAAATAAAAATATAGGCACTTTTTAAAAATGTGGGAATGACTGCAGTATATCAAGAAGAAAATATTGGTCTAATGTATCTTCCACATCAGAAACGTACATAAGCCCCCCCCCCCCAACAGAGTGAGATTGGCAAGAATAGCAGAAGCAAAAACTGGGAAGACACTGATGACCTTTCTGGAGGGATGGCATTGCAAGGATATCACGGCAGTTCACTGTATATACTGACTCACAGTTGGAGATGGTGAATTCCCTTCTCTGTGTGCATGGCTGAGGACAGAGACCTTTGCTATGTTTGACATTAAAAACAGCTATACTATTCAGAAAACGCACTTTACCAACCCAGCAGTGCAGAACACTGCGACATTTCCTGCATAACCAGGATAAATTAATACAACTGTTCATGGCGAATCTGAGGACAGAAATGAAGATGGGAAAAAACCATAGAAGCCATCTAGCTATGAGTGGCCATGTATATCCAAGTTATCCACGTATGAAAGAGCAGGCTGCAAGAGAAAACACATCTCTCCAACACTCCTCATGCTTCACTGCTCTTTGTTCAATACTGGATTTAGGACAAAGGTCCAGTCCTTGACCTCCTGTGCCCTCAATGGGCTGCACCTTCACTGGCCTCTCAAAATGATCTACATGACAGACACATTCATTAGGGCTGTTGCAGTTACATGGCCCAGGGTGAAATGGGCAGGTGCGAAGGGCAGACGTTCCTGGCAGATGGCCCACAGCTGTGACCTCAAACAGCAGACACTTCAAAGATGACAGCTTATCCTAACCTTGTCAGTGTGAATTGCTGTCAGAACCCACAGCCAACAACGCAGTACACGCATTCAGGAATGGTTATACTTTTATTGCAGAGCTATAGATGCAGTAACATAGGCACTGTTAAGAATGGCAGCGGCCCCATGGGCATAATAGGATATAGGGTATTCGTATGCACCCCCCCACAGTCCTGGCCACCTCCTGCGCGTGAGCTAAGGCTTACAGACCGTTAGGTAGCTGAAGCTGAGAACTCACATTCTCCCACGGCACCTAATGAAATCCCAGACACTACAACACCCTCCTGCACATCTGTATAGATAAGCGTTTTGGCGCAAAGCAGAAAAAACCCAGAATGGAATGCAATAGCAATTAACCTGAAAGGAGAGCAATAGCAATCAACTAGACACAGACCAACCTCCCCAACTTTCATGGCAGCATAGCTGACAATTGCCACCGCAACAGCATCTTTGCTATGGCAGTTGTGCAGACCAGCTTGGCACAGGTCACCTGATATAAGGTATTCATGAATATAGTGTTAAATCTGTGTCCATGCCTAGATGTAAGGCAAGGGGCAGCTCAGCCACTCAAAGTAGGATAGCCTGTAGTGTACAGTTTGGTTGGAGCTCTCCTAAAGGACATATTATCAAGACAGAGAGATACTCACTGATACACACATGCAAAAACAATTGCACAAATGTAACAAGCACCATAACCATTTCATAATTTCCCCCCTTGAAAAAATAGAGATTCTTTGTAAATATCTATACTGGGGAAGATTCTGAAAATTCTTATGCATTCCATTTATGTGGTCGATTACACTTTTCAACAGAGTTTTAAATCTTTGTATAACTGCAACAGAAAACTCATGAATATAGAGAAACATTTATTTCTATTTTACATGATGTGAGATTGGTTAAAGTGATACAGGAAAGGAAACTGATATCTGCTAAGCCCCAAACCTGCTGGTGAGCAAAGGGAGACATGTATAAATAGCACATCTGAGAATTAAAATAGATTTATTTTTATTCTCTATCCACTAATCTACCACATTTACTTATTAGCAAAAGATAACATAATGACCAACATCTACTAATGTGTGCATCATAAGTACATGATCAGAGCGGAGCTACCCCCGCCCCCGTAACTCTTTTTGAGGCAGAACCTCTTTTATACTCTGCTGAGTTCAATGTGGGACAGTGCATTACACATGGACACTGAAGGTCTAAGGGTCCAATCAACCTGGATGTGCATAATTTGTGCATCACTGAATCAATGGCAAAATGTGTAAGTTTTGAGATGTAAGGCTAAACTAGATGTGACTTTTTTCATGTGGTCACCATAAGGAATTGCAGTATATGCCAGCTGCCAGTTCCCTGTGGGAACTCCATGTAAAAACATTTTTACAGGGGTCTGATTCTGGTCAAGAATGTGATGCGGGGGGGGGGGGGCTCCTATCTTCCCTCCCATACCATTTTCACAACCTGAAACAGTGCCTGGTGTGTGTGTGTTTGCCTCATCAGGAGTCTGTACATGCAAACATTTAGCGCTCATGCAGACACCTGTCAGTGCAAACAATGTTCCTGGGGTGCCTTGACTCAGGAAAATGGCACCAGGGAGGGGGAGGTAGGAGCTCCTCCTCCCCCTGCATTACAGTACTGATCCAAATCAGGCCCTTGCAGAGTTGCCATAGGACTTGCAGCTGCAATATGGCTGCCAGTTCCCACTGGTAATTTGTAAAAAAAAAATAATCACATCTAATTCGGCCCTTATTCAAATCACTGTACAGCATTTAGTGAATGTATGTGTAAGCAGTTGAGCTCTGGACACAGAAAGGTCTGGACTTCATTAAAATATTAATCGTGGCTATATACAGAATCTCTGTTAACTGAACTGTCATGAACTCAGTTTTTGGACTGGCTAAATTCAGCTTCTTCAGTCCAAATAATCTGACGCCCATCTAACATGTTACAGATGACACTTCTGTTTATCTCAGCATCGTATTACCTAAATATTGGTGTGTATCCTTCAAGCTCTTCAGAGAAAATAGGAGCAGTGCCCTCATGTTTTCAGAATAGTCATGAAGGTTATCAGGTTCTTCTAAGCAAGCCTTTTTGGCCCAGAGTCTGTGCTGTTGACTGAAGTATTCAACCCATGCTGGTTGCTTGCCCCCTTCTGTTTGTCTGCAGAAAGGGGACTCTGTGTGCAGATTTGCCAGAAAGGGACTGTAAGAAAGGGGTGGTCAAATGTGATGGCTGCATTTGGGATACTGTGATGGAAGAGGGAATGTGAACATTAAAATACATGAAAACTGTTCAATAATTCCTTGCGGATATGGGAGCATCAGGTCACACAAGGAACTCTTTTGACTACAGGAGCATCTCCTACCATGTCCCTGGAAGTGGTAGAACTGTGTATTTAAAGAACAAAGATACACAGCTGTGCTGAAGGGAAGGAAGAAACCTACTCATTAAAAATTCCATGAGCGCATCCAAACACATCTTTGACTATGATCCAGACATATGGAGGCCACTATGAGAATCTTAACTACGTATTTATGTTTATTCAATTATTTAAAACATTTTTATGTTGCCTTTCCACCTAACTTTTGGCCCCCCAAAAAGGTGAACCATCAAAAACATTAATACAGGCTTTAAAATAAACACGCACTTTAAAACATTTTTATGGTGCCTTTCCACCTAACTTTTGGCCCCCAAGAAGGTGAACCATCAAAAACATTAAAACAGGCTTTAAAATAAACACGCATGTAACATAAATGAAATGATAAAATGAAACACATAAACGGGAAGGATGGTCAGTGAGGGAATGTCAAGTCAAACAAAACTGAAAAGTCTTCACCCACCAGTGGAGGGGGAGTGTAGACGAATCTCCCAGAGATGGAGTTCCATCATTTTGGTGCCATGACCAAGAAGTCCTTTTCTTGGGTTTCTGCCCATCTAGTCTTAGATGGCATGGAAAACCCAAAACAAGGCCACTTAAAGATGACAACAGTGGTTGGGTGGTCTTTAAAGTATGCTGGCTCCAAGCTGCCTAAGTCTTTAAAAGTCAACAGCAGCATCTTGAATTGGGCCTGGAAACAAACTGGGAGCCTGTGTAGGTGAAACAATACTGGAGCGATATAATCTCCATTCCAGTCAGCATTCTGTACCAATTTAGTTTACAGACACTTCAAGAGCACCCCCACATAGTGCAGTAGTCTAATCTAGAGGTTACTAGGGCTTGCACCAAACTGGCAAGATCACTGTCCTTGTGTATGCCCTTCGGCCAACTGCACTGGGAGGGTGCATGCAGTCTGGAACCATGCAGGTAATGCCTATCTACACACAGGGTTTCCAGGTCAACATGGGATACACAATACAACATGTAATATTCTAGCAGGATAGGAATAATATTCTTTAGGCGTACAACAAAGGTGACTTTAAAACTGGTACAAATCTGTTTCTTAGAGGAAGGCCTCAATGTTCTAAAAAATATTACTTGCCACTGAAAATTAAACTCAAGAAGATGCTATCCCCCTCCCCAGATTTGTTCTACATGAGTGTACTGAAATTAAGTGGATCACAACATCTTCTTCAGTTATTTTCAATTATGTGCCCCGGAACACACATAAAAACAGCTCTTTGCAAAGGGGTCTTGTATAAATATACTGAATTACAGTAACCTCAACATTTTTTCTATGGCGCACACTCAGCTCAGCAGAGATGGGGTGACCCTCTGGATGGATGGCAGAACTACTGCTGAAACAACTGACTCAGGGTACTTCTTAGAAAAGCTGTGTTTTGATGTGCGTATGTGTTTAAATTCTCTGACACTGCTTTCATAAAAATGCTGTAATATAAACCATGTGCTGGGCAATGGTCCCCCCCACCCCCAGAAAACCCTCCCTAGTTTCATTGTGCGTTTTATTATGGGCCAAATGTGACATTAAATTTTTATCCCCTATGGCATAGAGTTAAATACTTGCTCTGTTCAGAATAGCAACACTCAATTAAGTAGCATTTTTTCCATGATCTACACCCTCCATTGTTACTGTGTTTAAAGGGAATAATGGGAGCACTGACCTATATTGCGCTTCTTATTATCGATGGAGATGAAGCGTATGCAGGGATTACTGGAGATGTACTGTGCTGCCCAAGGGACATCAATCTGTGTGCCAGCTTCATAAAAAAGGCCCAGAGCATAGCGAGAGGAGTAGCTCACAGATTCCAGTTGCTGCCTTTGACTTCTGTTAATTACTGCAGTAGGGGGAAAAAAGGAGGAATTAAGACAATTACTTTTCTCGCAGAGCATTAAACCTGAAAATAATACTACAGTTAAGCTGCTTAATCTTTTCCCTAAAACAGCACTTGTTATGTGCCTAAGAAAAGACTGTACACCATATCATGATTCAAAACCATAACATGTATACCCGGGCCTTCATTATTCTTCACCGGAAGATTTTAGAAATTTATGAGTATCCCTTTTTTATGTATTGCAGAAGTCTATTTTTGAAATCTTCACCTGTTACCAATATTCAGTTTTTTAAAAGAATTTTTATGTATTCATGTAAGTTTTCCTGCCTATTCTTAAATCCTGTAATGGCTAGTCTCATACTATTTTGTATTTATTCCTTTAAAAAGCTTTTATAAAATTTGTAATAAGTTCAAAGTTAGGATTTTTTTTAAAAAGGGTCAAACCCCCCAAGTTTGTAGCATATAGGCTTAGCTGGTTAAAAAATCAAATAATGGAAAAAAGTTTGCACTTTTGATAGGAAATGTTTCCTTGTGCATGAGATATATTGGGACTGTGTTAGATAAATATGGGGGTGGGGGGATCCCAAAGGAAAAAAAAAACACAGGTGAAGCTGTGGATTGAATCAAAAAAGTAAGATATTACCACAACAGAACCTTGAAAACAGAGTGGCTTAGATCCTATACCGTTCTTTCATTTGCACAGTGTGGTCTTCAACTCCAACGTCTTGCAATGAACAGAAAGTACATAGTGCTACAGGAACTCTATGCAAGTGGGAAAAAGGTATAGGATCCAACCCATTATGAGTGAAGCAAAATATTGCAATAGATTATTCACAAAAACACTTCAATCAAATTACCGTTAATACCTATGGCATGAAAAAATGACATCCCACAAAGCGTATATGTTAGTATGTGTTATCATTCCACAGTGTTACTAATGTTCTGAAAGCCCACTCAACACTGAAAGAGGGCTTTTCATTCAGAAATGTTTTAGGTAAATTGAAAGCAAATCACAAAGGCCTGAATTTGAGGCCTTTGAAAATACTGTGTTCCTGAGTAGATGCTCAGAGTTTACTTATTTTAAAAAAATATGCTAGGGGTCTGCACTGGAAAAGACACATCATTTTAATTCCATATTGTAATTTAAGAAAAGGAAGATGTATCAATTTTAAGAATTCTTAGAAATGTTATCAGGTTCCATTTTTATTTTGATTAAGAGTAGATCAGATGTCTGCCCATTGTTATCCATGTGGGAAAATGGCAATTTTCCTGACTGGACATTTTTCAACAAATGGTATCAAAATGGCAGAAAATGTAATCTACCTTCTCTTCTAAAGACCCCCCAAGTTTCAAGTGAATTGGACAAAGGGGTCCAATTTCACAGCCTGTTGAATGAGGTGCCCTGAGCCGTCATCTCTGCTTAGCGAAAAAAGCTGTGAAAATGGCTACCGGTTTTCTGAAGTGGCTTAACCCCCCCCCCCAAAACCCTTAGTAACTGCAAATGAAAGTAGCACTTCCAGAATGTCTACTGAAACATCCACCTGCCCTGTCAATCATGCTGTGGAGGAAAGGGAGCTTACCTATCCAAACGTAAGCAATGAAAAATGTGATGTTACCCCAAATCACTAATTAATCTGCAAAAAAGGTGGAAAACATGCAATGCACTAACTGAAGGCAACCAGAAAAGCCTTGAAAAAGCCACAATGAAATATAAAAAACCAAACTCATCAGAAGCACAAAAAGGCAAATAATCAAAGCAAAACAAATATTAAGCCAAACATAACTCAAAAGTACAGCAAAAATAATACCTCTCCTGAGATGCCTCCCTGCAACCAAATGTTGCCTCCCAAACGAACCCCTTTCCAGGTGAAAAAGATGGAGGCAAGCAGACCAGTCTGTCAAGAAATGCAGTCCAGGAAGGATCCATCTAGCTGTAGGGTCTAGTGTAATTCAAGCAAGGTGCCTCTCTGAAGATCCAAACATCAGAGCAGCACACATGCAGTGCAAAATGGCCAACATAATGGATGGCTGCAGTTTGAAAATTTCCTTCTCTCCAAAAAGACTGTGTGACTTGCCTGTTCAATCCCAGGGCTAACACTGGCTGGGAGAAATGCTGTTTCCTGGGTTGTTGGAGAACCATTTTAAAATAAAATAAAATAAAAACAACAGGCAGGCAGGCTGTGTTCTATTCCTGAGAATTATTTCACGGTGTTGCCAGATCTGGGAGTCATTCCAGGGAGACTTTCACTGCCTTGGATATAGCCTACGCAATCTCATGCCAGGGAAGTCAGATGATACTTTTAGGGTCAACAATATATGACAGCAACAATAATATATATAGCATCACAGAGACTTGCTTGTGGTGGCTCACCACATAAAACATGATGAAACACAAAATCATTAACATTAACAAACCATTAAAAACCCTGCCGATGAATTACAGAGTATCAAACATATAGTTTTCACCCATAATTGTGAAGTATTCTATATTTTTAATTCATATCCCAAGACATGCTATCTGATTTGTTAATAAAGCTATGGGTTTTCCCATTCACTTCAGTGACAGTGTGCAAATACCAGCTTTGTGCCTGGAGAGTTCCTGGTACCAAAGTGAATGGGGAAGGTCACTTCTGCTCAAATTTTGCATGAAATTAATTCATTCATTAAAGGATTTAAGTATCTGTTATTCATATCAACCATTCAGGGTTCTACACTATCCTTCCGTCTGATTCCAAAAACAACGGCCACGATGAAAAGTCCCGAAGAACTTGAAATCTTGTAGGCTGTTTTGTGTCATTTTTGGTTTCTTCTAATAAAAGTACTATGTCACTTCTGCTTTTGGATTCTGCTTTGCTGCAGTGAGGCTATCTGCATCTTTTTCTGAAATATCTTAATCTTCAATTTGCTGCAACAACTAACAACCCAATCTGGGATAGTTACCCGTATTGCACTTAAAGGAATTGACTATGAGAGTAGATTCCACTGAATGTGAAATTGCTGAAAATTTGGCACAGCAATTTAGACTTGCAATCAGCGTATGCGTGTGTGTTTAGAACAGTGATCTTAAGTACCAAGTTATCTTCTCATTACTAATCAGTAAAGTTCTTGAGTACACGATGAGCTCTGGGCTTGGCTTTTAGTGACCTCCAGATTTGGGAGTTCATGGGTACAAAAATATATATCTGTGTTGCTATGAGTACAGATAAGGTCATGAGCCATAGACAAGAACAAGTACATTCATGATCTGAAGTCAGAAGCGCTGAATCATTCAAACATGGCTTCAAAGTGATTCTCATGACTGAACACAAAGGGAAATATTTATTTACCCCACTTTTCAGCACTCTAGACTCCCTTTCCATAGCAGCTTCCATTATTAAAGGAAAAACAAAACAAAACAAAAGTATGCTTTAATATATAATGGCAGATGCCTAAACAATAAAATCAAACAAAAATGATTTAATTAAGAATACAGTAGACAAATTGGTTGCTTTCTTTAAAAATGTAAACTGTTTTCTGAATTATCTTTATCACAAAGTGCTATAAAAACCCTTTACATAAATAATAACTAGCAATTTATGACACATTTTTAATTGGCTTATAGTTTTCGGATGCTTGGAGGACTGCTCTTCACTGGGCAACCAGTTGTGCTCTGTGAGCCCTTTGTGCAAACATACTTTTCCATGTATTCAGTCCAAAGAGACACAGCACCCCTACTTTGTCTAAAAAAAATTCCTACCTTGAAAATGCAGCATTGTCACTACAGAAGGGGATGGGAATATCTGGGAGAAATGGTAAACCGGAACACCATGTAAAGTGAAAAGCCAGGAGCATTGAGTTTTGCTGGCTAAGTGAAGGAGTTTGAGTCACTGACACAGTGGGAATCAACATCATTGTCAGCAGGTAGGCATGGCTGTCACGTCATTGTATTATCCACAGAGTCACACCCTTCTAAATCCACTGAAGTCAGTGGGCTTAAGAAAGGTGTATAGGGCAGCAGGAAGGGCTGCTAATCCAGAACTGTCATATACATCAATTGCAATGGGAGACTCTGCCTTTACTATTCAATTCACTCATTCATTATTGCCTTACCCTCAACCCCACTGAGGTTGAGGCTGACCAACTCTTTACGCATGGCATTGCACTACTTCTTCACTAGCCTCCTCGATCTGGTTTTCACTGAAGACAATGGCCCCGGTCACACGAGAGGTTTTGGGCCAGTAGAGGGACGGATCGGGGGCGCAGCAAATGGGCGCGATCCCACAGCAACATCGGGGAAGCGTGCTACACCCGTTCCCGATTCGCCCCTTCCACCCAAAACCCCGCTGCAAAAATGAACCACCTACCATGGTGGTTCATCCGAGACGGCCGCATCAAAGCCGCCTATGGGATCGCCATGGCATGCGCAGTTCGGCAGCCTCCCCCTCCCAACTGTGGCTTCCTCCCCAGCATCTGATCGTGCCGGGGAGCAACGGCGCCGCGGCTAAGGGGAATCCGTGGGATCCCGCCGCGGTGTCTCTATTTTGGTGTGGCTCTAATTTGCCGCACTTTGGCCGGTGTTTTCCCTGCCGTGTGACAGGGACCAATGTAACGTATCACCTAGTGGCTCAAAACTCACTTTCAGTTACATCTGTACCACAGCCCTAGTACATTTCCCAGGCAATGAGAAAAGCTTTGCTCTCCAGATAACAATCCGGTGATTCATTCTTTACCTTTAAATCCCAAACCGAGTTACACCTGTCTCAGTCTTGATAATCAATGGGTTTAGACGGGTATAAATGCAGTGGAAGGAGCTGTGGCTTCTCTTGCTGGCTCCCCAACCCCAGTCCTGTCTTCTCTCACCTCCCCAAGCTGTGTAGCACACCTGAGATCATACTTGCAGACAGAAGTAAAATGAGTGGGAGAAAAAATATCTCTTCTGCTTTGTGCTGGATTTAAAGATAAAGAACAGCAATGGACCAACTCTTCCCAGTCTCGAATCATAATTGGGTTGCCAATTAATAGTGTTACTCAACAACAACAAAAAGCTCACTTTGCACCAAAAGTTTTTAATTGGATCACAGTATAAAATGAGATACCATATTGCTAGTTTCCATCTATTTTTAGTCTGAATCAAGGACACTGAGTCACAGGTCTGACAGTGCTAAGCAACTACTGTCCCCAGGGTATTTTTATGGCTCTGCGGAGCAGTGGTTAAACACAGGGATGCCCAGAGCATTGCAGGAAAAGCAGCTGTGTAACCCCTGAGTTTATCTGACCAAACTCTAGAATAGTTCACAACTAAGTGATTATACAAATGTATTATTACTTTCTCCATAATTTCCTGCCCTCAGTCTATTTTCTTGACATTTTAAACATATATAAAGTTTTTATTGTAGGCTGCTACTTTGTGTTCTCATTGCAGAAATGTGTGGAAAATAAATAAAACAAGTGGGAACCTGCAAGGACTTGCGGGAGGCATCTCATTTCCCCCTCCCCCACTATTTTCACTTTCCCTTTCTTGAAAGGTCCCCCAACCTCTCCCCTTTTCCTGCTTCCTTCCCTCCTTCTAGGGGTACCAAACTCCAGGTGCAGCCTGGAGATCTGGAATCACAACGAATCTCCCAACTACAGAGATCAGTTCCCCCTTAGGATTGCAAGTTCCAGTCTGGGAAATTCCTGAAGGCTTCGGGATGCAGCCTTGGGTGAGTGAGGTTTGGAGACTGAAGCAACCTCAGTAGGGCATAATGCGATAGAGTCCACCCTCCAAAGTTGCCGTTTCTGCAGGGGAACTGATTTCTGTCATCTGGAGAGCAGTTGTAATTCTGGGTGATCTCCAGCCCCCACCTGGAGGCTGGTAATCTTAGTTTCTCTGGAGAACTGGCTTCTTTGGAGGGTGGTGTCCAGGGCTATCCTGGAGGTCCCTCCCCTCCTCAAACTCCATCTTTTCCAAGCTCCAGGCCCCAAATCTCTTGGGAATTTTCTAGCCTGGAGTTGGCAATCCTATCTCCTCCCTCCAACAGCCGACCTAGCTTTATCTACTCCTCTGTCTTAAGCTTTCCAAAACTCTAACCGCTACACCACAGGGTGGCTGCTGTTGAACAGTAGCAAGCAACCAAGTGTACTTGAATCATGTAAGTCAGGTGATATCAAGTCACCCAGAGGTTGCTGCCAGACCTCAAAATTACAACTGAATTCCAAACAAAAGAGATCTGTCTCCCTGGAGAAAATGGCTGCTTTGGAGGATGGACTCTGGCATTATACCATCCCAAGGCCTCTCCCCTCTCGAAACCCTGCACTCTTCAGACTTCACCACAAAGTCTTCAGGAATTTCCCAACCTGGAGCTGGCAACACTAGGTAGGCCTGGGCCCAATGAGTCCTCCCTTAAAGGCCAAAATAGGCCTGGAAAGGCCTGCCCCCTCCCTCTGCCCTTTACTCACAGAAACTAAAGCCTGGAACACTGTGGTTGCCTAGCAACAGCCACTGAGGGAATCCATTCTTTAAAGCTACAGGCACTCCTTTTATAATTTTTGGGAAAGCGATGGCGAACCTAAACAGCATGATAAAAAGTAGAGACATCACCCTGCCAACAAAAGTCCGCATGGTCAAAGCAATGGTATTCCCAGGAGTTATGTATGGCTGCGAGAGTTGGACTATAAGGAAGGGACTATAAGGAAGGCCGAGCGCCAAAGAATAGATTCTTTTGAACTATGGTGCTGGAGAAGACTCTTGAGAGTCCCTTAGACTGCAAGAAGATCAAATCAGTCAATCCTAAAAGAAATCAACCCTGACTGTTCCCTGGAAGGCCAGATAACGAAACTGAAGCTCAAATACTCTGGCCACCCAATGAGAAGGGAGCACTCACTGGAGAAGACCCTGATGCTGGGAAAGATTGAAGGTCAAAGAAGACAGGGACGGCAAAGGATGAGATGGTTAGACAGTGTCATCGATGCAACGAACATGAAATTGAGCCAACTTCAGAGGACGGCGGAAGACAGGAGGGCCTGGCGGGAGCTGGTCCATGGGGTCATGAAGAGTCGGACTCGACTGTGCGACTGAACAACAACAAAGCTGTCCAAAGTATTATTTTTAGATTTCACATTTTTTCTGCAAACCTGGCTTTTCAGGTTTGTAGAAAGAAGTGTCTTGTCTGTTCACAGCTCCAGTCACCAGATTTAAGTATCGAAAGATTTGGCTGATTTGGCTATTAGAATATCATTTTCAATCTTCCCTTCCCTATTAACTGATTCTCAACTATGCTCAACATTCCATGTCCCTTTCAGCATGCTTAGTCTCACCAGGCCATTGCTTTATTTTTTTTGAGGGGGGGGGGGTCTCTTTCTTTTTGCTGATTGTGAAGATAGAGTAATAATATAAGGTACAGTACAGTACCATAAGGTACAGTAATATTTTCCCAAATATTCCTTGTGACTAGAGCATGAGTTTTGTTTTACATTTGTGTATGTGTGTGTGAAGAGTCATCAAGTCGCTTCTGACCTATGGAGTCCCTATGAATTAATGACTTATTGTTAACAGTTTTGTTCAGATCTTGCAAAATGAGGACCGTGGCTCCTTGACTGAGTCAATCCATTTCATGTTGGGTCTTTCCTTTTTCTTGCTGACTTTACCTTTTTTTTTTAGCATTATTGTTTTTTTCAGTGAATCTTGTTTTCTCATAATGTGACCAAAGTATGATAGGCTCAGTTTAGTCATTTCAGCTTCTAGGGAGAGTTCAGCCTGGATTTGATCCAGAACCCACTTATTTATTTTTCTAGTGGTCCATGATATCTGTAAGGTTCTCTTTCAACACCACATTTCAAATGAATCAACTTTCTTTCTGTCAGCTTTCTTTCAGCTTTCACATCATACATAGTAATGGGGAATATTATGAGTTATCCTGATCTTGGTTGCCAGCACTTTACACTTTTCTAGCTTCTTCATGGCTGTCCTTCCCAGTCTCAGTCTCCTTCTGATTTCTTGGTTGATGATGGACCCAAGGAATAGAAAATCTTGAACAATTCCTACTTCTTTATTGTCATTCTTAAAGTTGCGTAATTCCTCAACTGTCATTACCTTTGTCATCTTGATGTTCAGCTGTAATCCTGCTTTGGTGCTTTCTGCTGTAACCTTCATCACTAATTGTTTCAAGTCTTCACTGTTTTCTGCCAGTAATATGGTGTTATCTGCACATCTCAAATGTTCCTTCTGCCAATTTTCACTCCACCTTCATCTAAATCTAATTTTAGCTTACAGAGCCGTCTTTACATTCATTAAGATGGAAGAGCACCTACAGTGTTAGGCTACATGTATCCATCATGAATTAAAAAATAAGGCAGTTTGGAGACATTGCTGGACAATAAGAAAGTTTGGAGGCATTATTGGTTGAGAAGTTCCAGTTGCTGTGCCTCTTTGGGAGTACCCGTTAATGTGCAGTCCTGATGAAATCGAAAACTCATTGAATAATCTGGAGGATGAGTTGACTGCAGCTTATTTCTTACTGTTTGTCTCAAGTCCTAAGGATCTACTTGCTGATTGCAGCATACTTTACATTGTTTATCTTAAGTCTTAAGAAGTGGATGTACTTGCTTTATGGACATTTGAAGCTCATGTTTTTCAGTCCATTGAAATTGGCATTTGGGAAGTCTTTCTTTTGGGAATGTTAAATAGTAAATTGTAAATATTGCTTTAAATCATTAGCCTATCCATTGTATTTTTTTGTATTTTTGTATTTTTTATATTATTGTATATTTGAGAAATATTTGGAGCCTTATTTGACGTTAAGTCATACAAGATACCTTACATGTTCAGCATATAGACTGAACAGACAGGGAGATAAAATACATCCTTGTCTGGCATCTTAGCCAATTGGAAACCATTCTGTTTCTCAATGTTCTGTCATAACAGTAGCCTCTTTTCCAGAGTATAAGTTGCACATCAAAACAATCAGATGTTGTGGCATACCCATTTCTTTTAAAACCAACCATAGCTTTTGATGGTTTTAATAATTTTAATACAATTAAAAGCTTTTCTGTAATCTCTGAAGCACAAACTGTTTTTCTTCTGAATTTTTTTTGTACGTTCCAGTAACCAATATAAATTTGCAATCTGATCTCTAGTGCCTTTTCCTTTTCTGAATCCAGCTTGAACATCTGGCA